CTTCTTATATAATAAAAGCCTAATATGCTAAGTGTCCGACTGTTTGTTCAACTGTTCGACCAGTCGCTATGATGTGCACTGACCACCCGGGGCCGACGCTCCCACCGGTAGGTTAGCTTGCTGCTGGGGTCCAGCTGATTGGGACTGGGAGAGTCAGGCTGGACACGCCCTGGAGCCCTCCAGCGTGCACCGGTGGGGTCCCTCAGCCTGGCCTGCGGGGATTGGTTGCCAGTTTGATTCTTGGTCAGGGCACATGCCCAGGTTGCTGGCTCCATCCCCGGTGAGGGGCGTGCAGGAGGCAGCCAATCAATGATTCTCTCTCATCATGGATGTTTCTCTCTCTCTCTCTCTCTCCCTTCCTCTCTCTCTAAAAATCAATTTTAAAATCTTAAAAAAGGAAAAGAATAGGAAGGGGAAAATAAAAACCATAATTTACAGATGACATGCTCATCTACCCAGAAAAGCCAACCAACAGAATCAAAGATTAGAACGAATAGAATTCAGCAAGGATGTCACATGCAAGATGAAGCTATAAACATTAATAGCATATCTCTAGCCCTGGCCGAGGTAGTTCAATTGGTTAGACTTCAGTGGTCGGCAAACTCATTAGTCCACAGAGCCAAATAGCAACAGTACAACGATTGAAATTTCTTTTGAGAGCCAAATTTTTTAAACTTAAACTATATAGGTAGGTACATTGTTATTAACTTCATTAGGGTCCTCCTAAGGCTTAGGAAGAGCCACACTCAAGGGGCCAAAGAGCCGCATGTGGCTCTTGAGCCGCAGTTTGCCGACCACGGGGTTAGAGCATCATGCCAAGGTTGGCAGCTTGATCTCCAGTCAGGACACATACAAGAATCAACCAATGAATGGAATGAATGAGTGGAACAACAAATTGATCTCTCTCTCAAAAAAAAATCAATCAAAAAAAAATTTAAATAGCATATCTCTACACCATCAATAACTAGAAAACATAATTTAAAAGATGATGTCATTCAAATAGCTATAAAAACTGTCAGGTAGCCCTGGCTGGCTTGGCTCAGTGGATAGAGCATCAGCAGCCCAGAGCCCCACCTTCTCCTCCTGTCTCTGGTCTATCTCCTCCTGCAGCCTCTTCAGGAGCCGGTCCTGCCCACACAACTTGGTCAACAGGGTCTGAAAGAGGAGAACGGGACCAGATCTGGCTCTTACCTCGCCCCCCCACGCCACACACACACCTAGAATATTCTCTCCCCAATCCTGGAACTCAGCAGCGGTTGGATCCCGCCTGTCAGGTATTTGGGCGTTATCTTAACTAAGAACACATAAGATCTCTATGGAAAAACTTTAAGACTCAAGTAAAAGATCTAGAAGATGCTATGACTGAATGGAGAGATAGTCTGTATGTATGCCACCCGGTTTGCGGCAGCCTGAGGAAACTAATGAAAGCCCTTGCCCGAGGCCCTTGAAACACCCGCCCTGGTCTAGGCTCACTAGTCCACATGAGGTTCAGCTTAGCCAGGAAAACAAGGGAGGGGCTCTGGCGGTTTCAAGGTGCCCCAGGATATTTACCAATAAAACCATGGAAGCCCGAGTCCCAGGAGATCTTGGGGGCAGCTGGATATAAGTGGAGGAGCCAGAGGGGGCCTGGGAGGAATATTGAAAAAGATGTTCAGAAATTGGCATGTCTTAGCAACACATATGAAAGTGGGGGTGCCCAGCCCTAGCTGGTTTGGCTCAGTGGATAGAGCATCATCGGCCTGCAGACTGAAGGGTCCTGGGTTCGATTCTGGTCAAGGGCACATGCCAAGGTTGCGGGCTCGATCCCCAGTAGGGGGACGTGCAGGAGGCAGCCGATCAATGATTCTCTCTCATCACTGATATTTCTATCTCTCTCTCCCTCTCCTTTCCTCTCTGAAATCAATAAAAATATATTTTTTTAAAATAAAATAAAGTGGGTGTGCCCAGAACTGAAGTGCCCTGAGAGGCCCTTTGAGGTTCAAAACTGGGCCCCCTAACTTCCTCCACTACCTGCTCTCCGGCCCTGTGTCACTGTAGGGACACGCAGGATGATAATAAAGAGACAAGCCTGGCCTTGACCGGTTTGGCTCAGTGGATAGAGCGTCGGCCTGCGGACTGAAGGGTCCCAGGTTCGATTCTGGTCAAGGGCATGTACCTTGGTTGCGGGCACATCCCCAGTGGGGAGTGTGCAGGAGGCAGCTGATCGATGCTTCTCTCTCATCGATGTTTCTAACTCTCTATCCCTCTCCCTTCCTCTCTGTAAAAAATCAATAAAAAATATTTTTTTAAAAAAAAGAGAGAGAGAGACAAGTCTGGCCAAACAGCCCCAGGGCAGATGGGAGCTGCCCTCTGCCCTCCCTCTCACTCTTGTGGTTAGCTGCGGATATTCTGGGCTCCAATCCCGTGATGCCCAGAGAAAATAGCAGGCGGCCAACTTGGAAAGACAGACTGGAGACAGGAGGCAGTTGCAACCCACACCACTTCTCACGCCCTTGTCTAGGCGGAGGGTCCTCCGGACTATAATCCCCCAAATGCTGAGGGTGTAATGGCCCGAGGCCAGCCCGGAGCTACAGCCCCATCTCCTCCCTACTCACCTGCGTCCTGGCCTCCGGATGCCAGGGCTGGGGGCTCCGGGGGGGCCTTCCTCCCCCAGCCTCGGAGGCGGGTCCTCGGCGGGGAGTGGGAGGCCGGGAAAGGGCCTGGCGCTGGGGGCCCCATTCGGAGGGAGGGCGCACGTCGATGCGACTCAGTGGGGTATGGGGTCTGGCGGGGAGTGGGGTGTCACCCGAGGAGGGAGGGGGCCTGCG